CTTGCTCGATAGCATTACTTCTCGTATATGAATTATGAGCTGAACCCAATGGCAATCTTTTTTCTAAACTCATAGTTGCACACAAATCGAAACGTTTAGCGATAAATTCATCTCAAAATGATCAGAAATGTTCATTGTGATCAAAAACTTCAGAAAGCAACACAACACAACAATTTGGTTCAGTTCAAATTAAACATTTGGTTCAAAACAAGTTTTCAAAATTGAAAAAATGATTATGGCGATGGCGATTTAAAAGATTCATTTGAGAAGAAGAATCAGTCAATCTCATAATGCTGTCATTTTCATCAACAGGAGGCATGGTGCTGCTGTCAATTTCATTACTCTCGTCCTTACGATTAGCACAAAATCAATGACATTTCTCAACTCTAGAAATCATTCTCCTTTTTGCATCTTGAATGTCATATAAACTAAATCTAAATATCTGACGATCACATGAATGAAATATTCATTTTCCATTGAACTATTTCACACGCAATAGTTTTCTGTCCATTGAACAGAAGGAGGATTGCATGATATTTTCGAAATGCCTTGTTTTGATGAACGAAGAAAATTTTCCAATATTCTCACCATTAATGGCATGTTTGCAAATTCATCTCAAAACTTGTTGATAAGGAGCTCAACTCAAAAAAACCTTCGAGAGTGCATCTGATTGATGCTTTTATGCAATGCTTCAATCTTACATTGATAATTTTATGCAATGTTGATGAAAACAGATAATAGTTGAGAATATAGCTGAACGAATTATACACCAATTATAATCATAGAATAAATATACTTCTCNTGTCAAACTTATTCCTCATCCTCAAACGTATCTCATTATTATTATTGGGCAAAATGTTTACAGCGTCCGACCATTACTTTACAATTTAAAAATTCAAACGTCACGATGAATGCAACAAATTTTGAAATGTAACTATATAATCAACCAATTCTGCCGGAACTAAACGACAAAAATATTCGAATGAAGTCATCACTGAATGACTATTAACAAACTGACGCCTATTCCACTTCTCAATTTCTCATCCACTCCATGAAACAACTTGCGATCAAACCATCCTATTCAGCAACTGTTCTCAAAACGCTGATGAAGCGGTGTTGTTGAACACTCTCAAATTGCATTAAGCTCACATTTCAGCGCAATTCACGGTACGCGAATGGCAGCAGCTTGTTTCATTCACTTCTTTTTTAATTGAAGTATTATCCATGAACTCGGCACAGAAAAAAGATATATGTAACAACACATGGGTGAGATGAATACTGGCTGCTTACTTCCTATATTCCCATTCCAATTCCCTTCCTCGTTCCGTTCCTTTCACCGTTCACCATTCTCCTAATTGATAAAGTCCTGTTCATCTGACACACTAAAGGAAGAAGGATCTATGCTAAGCAGCCGTCGACGATTTTCACTGAATCACGAAATTGCACTTGCAGAAGCAGGTAGAAAACGGCGACAATTCTTGCTGTCACAGTGGCACGGTAGTTGAATCAGATTCACATTCGATTCCCCTTTACCGTAGTCGTAGGTCAGTTCTTCGAGTGGTTCAATGGTTCGACACGCGAACAGACCGATATGCACAAGAGGTGTGCCAATTCTCACTGGGATAAGCCGCAGATTCGGATCACAACTGTGGTTGATGAAGCGAGCCAGATTGCCTCGTCTCGTTGGATCTATGAAAGTGGCATTCGCTCGCCATCGTTTTCGCTTCTCTTCTTCTACAGCTGATGCTGCTGATGATGATGAGCAGCATTCTGATGACGTCGTGTCACTTTCTCAAAATAAACAATCCTTTAAAATTTCACCTCGCCAAACAAGAACTAATCGAATTATGCCTACCTATTATACTGTATGACGCTATGGATAAGGATTGGGAATATCCAAAATTTTTGCGAAAA